ATGGCGACCGTTGATAAAATGAAAATGGTCTCTTACAACAGGTTTTGCCTCCATAGCCAACTGGACATGTGCAATAGAAGTCATTTACGAGGTTAACACAGTGGCCTCCATGTTGACAAGGTTGACTGTAACAGTTGTCGAGAGCTGGCAAAAGAAAGAGATAATTATGTGAAATTGACTTTTCGTAGTCCAAGGTAAGGTGATGTTGTATTTTATATTTACCTATCTCACAGGTGTATCCAACGATTCTATCTGGGCATTGACAAGTGTAGTTCCCTTTGCCATCGATRCATCTTGCRTTATTGCCACACGGCTTAAGAGTGGGACATATTGGGAAAATACGAAACGGCTTTTCTACGAAACCAAACAGAAGATATCAGAAGTAGTTAGAAATAGGGTAATGTGTAGCGACGCCATTTTGTACAACATGGTGGTAGTTGTAGTATTCGCACGGTTTATAGCCCTAAAAATATTCATAAAAGCTGTTTTATTTGTAGAAACGGAACAACKTCTTCCGKTTWTGTGAAGAAAAAGCGAAAACTGCTAAAARMATCAAAACGTACGAGAACTACAGCTTCCACATCGGCTTTGTTATGCAGRTACACAATGGACTATTTTAGTGAAAATGTTGGTCTTAAACCCAGCGCACACRATAGAAAAGTGCATAAGGGWAATGCAACGCGAGGCGCATTGATTAGCATTTTGCTCACCGTGAACAGCAAAAATTGGTGCGTACACGCTGCTCAAAGCGACTCGCGTGTCATTTCCATTACGCACTTTCCTTTCGTGATCGTCGGGCTTAACYCTAGCACATAGAAGGACATGTAAAAAGACAAACCTTGTGGCTTTCTGTTTGCAATTGTTTTGTAGTAGCTGTTGTGTTTCATWACGTACTTTGTCGGTTGAGAGATCTTATTTTGACTATTCAAGTGACATTGCTGTGTTGTCATRTCGTAATTTAGACTCATACAATTGCTGTCATCTTCACATTGAAGCCAGCATTTTGCATAGCTTGCAGTGGTAAGCGMTCGGTACGTGTAGCCGTTCAAAGCAAAGCCATATTCTTCATTGTCATGTATGGATATTCCCTCGCCACATGTAGACTGGAGATAAGCGAAGCCAACCTCTGTGAGGGTAACCGTTAACAGTAGAAAACCACCAAGAACCTATGATAATAGTGTTAGTCATGGGAGGGTTTCGCGGTGCCACAGTAATTTTAGTTTTGAGACATGAACATTATTTTTTTAAGAATCTGTATTTTTACTCTCGGATTTTGAATGTCATTGGTCCACAAATTTGAGCAACGTTATTTGAATAATTGCTCCCCAAGAAAGCATATCGATACGATAAAGACCACCTCAGCTATAGACCATATGAAAAAGGCTAATGTAAAAGTTACCTAAAGAGAATGACTATCTCATACCACTATTTCAACTGAGAATAGCCTTAATAGAGGCTCGCTGTTTCAAGGAACCTAACCACAACATATTATTTTCGATGTTATTTTATTGACATGAATAAATATTAATTATAAATAAAACAGATTTATATTTAGCTCAGCTCTAAAAGGTTATACAACTCCGAAAGAGTATGTTTATGAGAATTTCGTAATCTGAATTTATGGACTTTGGTAGATTTGTTCAGTTGGAAGAAGTTATTGTAACTGTAAAAATGGCAATTGATTTAATAAGCTTATTAAGTAAAAAAAGTTGCTCTTCATCAAGTCTTGGTTTCAAAATGTCCACACTTTTCGACAAATTGAAGTTCACGTAGATCGTTGGTTTTACCCATATTATTACAGTATTTCAATACAGTATCATCGTTTCCTTGTTGTCGAAATATCAAATGAAAAAGTCATCCTGTTTTTATTTTTATTTTTTTCTTATTACAAAACGTGAGCCTAAAAACGCCTGAACGTAAATTGTTTTTCATCTTTCGGAAATCGATTTCCCGGATGTGCAAACGCGTCGTAGTTATGTCAAATTGGCGGGAATATTTCTGTGCTTTGATTTCGCTCTCCCGTGGATTTTTTGCTTGTGATTAATGTTTCTAATCGGCGCCGTGCAGCCAGAGCAAAATGTTGACCGAGACACTTTACTGGACCGCATGTAGGGGAAAAAATTTGAAATTCAGACACCCGGAAATGTGATTTCCAGCGTTTTAGTGAAAAGCATACTGTGACATTTTTTTTTTCACAGTGACCATTGATCAAACTTCTTTATTTTGGTTACGAAAAAGTCGATAAATTTTACCGTGAGGCAAGTGGCTCGCTTGCCCGATCGTAGCTACGGGGCTGCTAATATTATCAATTTGGTGTTAAATCAGTCTTTGCAGGAAAAAAAATGAATGTTTCCAAAAATATTTTGGCGCTTTTTGTTTGCTTTTCGCTCGAAGCGTATGGGTTTCCTGTGGTGGTACAGGGACAAAAACGTGCGTACGCTCGGGAGCCCTGTGTCGGTCCATGAAAAATGGACTCGATGGATTTTTTCATAGCTATGGTACTCCGCTCGCGAGGGAGCTCTGCTATCATAACGCCTTTTCTTATAAGTTGTTTAATATGTTATTAATATCCCTTGAAACAACATATTATATTGAGTAAGATCTGATAGTTTCAGTGCTCTAACATTTAAGGAACAGAAGTTATTGGTGTTTGAAATTAGAAAGGCTTTAGTGAAAATCAGTATTGAAGCCTTACCAGATAGTTTTCAAAAACTCTTTTGATATAAGTATCTATCAGAAGTAGGGTTGTCGTACGTATTCCATATATAGTATTAACTA